TTAATAACTAGTCATTCTGAAGGTGTCATAGCCTTGAAAGCATCAGACTGCAATACAGAACTTGCAGAACCAACCTGACTGCAGAGCAGAGCTTCACTAAGTATTTAGCCAAAATACTAAAATTCAAGCAGACATTAAAGTGCAATTTTGGCTTTCTTTACCAAAAACAAAACAAAACAAAACAAAAAAAAAAAAGACACAATAACTCCATCTAGGCTGTAAGAACCAAGTTACTGAGCATTCCTAGGTTCAGCTATTCAATGAGAACAGCGAACAGGTATCACAAACAGATGACTGCCTGACAGGTCTAAACTAAAAAATTCAAGCAGAACTTGGACATTTGTTTTAAGTTATATTAACACAGCCTCACATTTAAGCCACTGATGACCAAAATAGTTAGTCCCCATGCAAGCAGGCTTCCTTTCTGTGCTACACAGGATAGTCCACGCTATTCTCCGCATCATTTTCAAACCCCTCTGCTCTTCCACAGCAGTTGCATCCTCTGCTGGGAGATTTCCTCTTTTGTGGATGCCTCAACACATGGGAGTAGCTTCCAAATGGGAATGGCTAAATGATATATAACTTATTCCCTGTTTTTCACTCCATGAATGCAGTTTGCCCAGTGTCTCCCAGTAAGCTAACTGGAGCACCAGGTGCAGGCAAAGATTAAAAATGGGAACTGATTCAGCTTGGGAGAGAAGACAGAACAAAAATCCCCTTGGTGTGACAGATGGACACCTCAGCTGTGAGCAGGTAGCAATGCAAGTATCCATGTAATAAATTTATCCATTTGCTTTTCCTTTTCTGTTGTTCAAGGTGAAACTCCACAGCCCGGAGAGTTCTTACAGAAGGCCTTTCAGTTCCCATCTCGCAGTGTAAGAGGCGGTGACACTGCAGCGTGTATTAGCACGAGAAACACTTAATTGCGTGAATTCTGTCTACATCTTTCTACTTCTTCTGCCTTTGTGGTATTTTAAACAAAACTCCATAAAAGCTCCTTAAAGGTCTCATTTGTATGTGCAGATCAAAGACAAAATAATTATTTGAGACGCTTCCATTAGAGGGATTTTTTTAATGTGGTTATTCATCAAATAATTCTTAATCTCTAAATGTAATTTAAATACAGCTATACTTGGTTAAGCCAATCAATTTAGAAAGACTCATTCTAGTCAGATTAAGAAAAAAACTCCAGAACTGGCTCATCAGTGATACCCATTTGATGTGAGACTGGTTACCAGCTACATGTGCTAGACCGAGAGACAGCCATATAAATCAGGATGGATTAACCAGACTTGACTGCATCTAAAAATAAGTGCTACCCATAAAACTGCTAGAACATGACAAAACACAACTGCCATACAGCCAGTGATCATTGCAAACAGATTCTTAGTAAGTTAGGAAGTGCATTGCTACGAGGTAAACATGCTGAGTGAAAATCTGCTGGACTACGTTTAAATAAAATGTATGTTCTGTGCGCAAACAAGAAACAAAGCCCATGCTGTTGATACACTGATTTTTTATCTTTCTTTGGCCCCCCGGGGTCTATGATGAGTCCATAGCTGAAAACCAATTTCAGGTATGCTGAGATCAACCAGGTGCATTAATTATCTGATGGCAAAAGAATCTAAGGCAAACAAAAAAGGCACTATATTATAGATTTTCTCTCTGTGCTAGGACTGATCCTGAAAGATCAGTCTCCTATTTTGTTCTAAACGTCTTTACTTGGAAGCTTACGGGAGTTTAGGGAATTCCACGTGTTGCAGGATTGTATCCATTATGCCTAAATCAGATTATATATAAATAGAGTGGGTTTAGTTCTCATTTACACTGGCAGATAATGTATCAAGACCTTGATGTGAATGAGAATCAGGTTTGTGATTGCCCAAATTCAGCCAAGCACTTAAGTGTGTTTAATGCAAGTATGTGTGTGGTCCAATAGACTCCAAATTAAGCATGCGCTTACATACTTCGCTGAGCAAGAACCAATGTTTGACAAAGATATAGATTTCATTTATGGGTCTCTGCTAAACAAAATTAAGCAGCCGTAAGTGCAAAAAATAAGAACATAATACTCACTTCTTGGCTCCCTTGGCCCATCCACTGTAACCTTTATAGCTCTGTGGTATGTAGCGACTTGGGGGGGATTTGTCAGGACAGTTATTGTCAAAGTAAAGCTCTTCCCTACAAAGGGAAAAAAACAACAAGGAATGAGTGATTACAACATGAAAACAGTTACATGCATGTTCAGTAAAGAATCAGAGACGTTTAAAATTATTCCCTGTCGTTACCACAATCGTGAAAATTAAAAACATAACTGACCATAGGAGTTTTCCTCCCCTTCAGTTTTACTCTATGTCAAGAATATGTCCATGTGTTGACAATCTAAATGTTCCTTATTTAATAATGGGTCATCATACAATGACAGAACAAAAGTGATTCACTGCTGAGGACAGGCCAAATTCTTTGCTGTATTGAAAGTGGTGTAAATCCAAAGCAAGTCAGATAATTTAAAAATTTACTCCGGTTTCGCAGCTGTGTGACAGAGAGCAGAATGTGGCCACATGTTATTTACTTCACACAGTTTTATCATTTCATTTGTTTGACTTGACTACAATAAGATGAGGAAAGAATATATTTTCCTTCTGGGAGTCATTTGAACAGGGAATCAGTGTCTCCTGTCCTTCACATGCCAGGGGTAATATGATGATATCATTATTACTGGAACAGACTTTTTTTCCCTTCATATAGTCCACCTATTAAATACTAAGAAAACCCCCAACTTTCCCGTCAGGGTGAGAAGCTGCTGTGTGCACGTACGTTGCTATCCTAAGTCTGCCTTTTTTTTTTTTTATTTTTTTTTTTCTAGTTCGAATTCACACAGAGATTGCACAAGATCATCCGCCAGCCTTTAGCTGAATGAAAACATTAAAAAGAAATAAATAAAGGGAGCTGCCTGCATCTGAGCACACATTCTCACAAGGCGCTGGCCCCCGTTCAGGAGACTCACTGACAGTTGTAATCTGTTAGATATGCAACGGTTACTCATGTCAGATAGTCAAAACTGAAAACTGTTTCAAGACAGGAAAAGGTGGGCGTACAACAGTGACTCAATAAAACAGTCAGCAATCTTCGGCCTTCGTGCTCATTTAAGCTGCTACTTTACCAGACACTTAAAACTCTCGTTTTCTCCTCCCCTCCCTGTGTGTATACGTGTATTTTTGTTGCTAGGGTTTTTTTCAAAACTCTGAAGGCATTCAATCAAGACACAAATCTTAAACGATATGTAACTGCGCAAACTTAATGCCGTTTTTTCGAGCCTAATACAGAACAGCTTATATATAAAGGCATAATAGGGACCAGAGCTTTGGCTGTCAAATCTAAAGACTGTTTTTTCTCTCTGGTCCAAGTCGTATACCCCCCAAACCTGCCTGAGACACGCATCATTTACTATCAGGAGTGCAACTTCAAACTGTCTCGGCTATATTTTTCACAAAGTAGAATGTGACATGGATTTTTTGTTTTAAGGAAATATAACTGTCATTTAGAGAAAAATGATTTTCCAGGTGTGGCTGTGCTCCAGCTGTGCCCACCTGGCCGAGAGATTGCAGGTTAGAGGGGGGATCAAGACCCTAGCAAAGGTGCAAAAATCTCAGGAGGCTGAATTCTGCCTCTGTGAAGATGCTTGGCTGAAGGTGCCTTTCCCCAGTTTCGCTGGGAAATGAACTTTTTGAGAGTGACCATCACAGGAAGCAACCTAAGTCTATGTAGGATGTCCAGTATTGTCCAGTCCTGCCCATCTGCCGTCCCCAAAGGTAAAGCGTGTGTCCTGCCTGCGTACAGCGTGTGCACAGGCAGCCTTCAGACACACAGCAAGAGCCCTAAGGAAGCATATAGTGCCTCTGCGCCTGCTTGTTTAGGGCTGAACAGGGTCCGTGCCTTTTATCCCTCTCCAAGCAGGAATTCAGCCTATTGCTTGGATGTATACAATTCACCAGGGACAGGTTTAAGGCCTCCTTCGGCGCCAGCCTATCATGTCAAAAAGCTGTGACTGTTAAATTGTATGATGATGACATTCAGATTGCAGTTACCTGTATAAAATCAGTAGAATATTACTGGTAACAAAGATACGAAAGGGATTTTCCGTATACCTTTGAACGAATAACTTGGCCTTCCAATGCTACCATTCTATTTATACGCCAAATCAATATAAAAGTCTATCATGACCAAAAATTAACCCAACAAAATAAGCTATTTGTAAGGCTCTGTAAAACCATTCCATAGAAAAGCACTGCAAGATTTCTCTACACTAATACATCTCAACAGAATGCAGTGGCCAGAAAAAACACATTCCCTAATATAAAGACCTTGACCTTGCCTGTGAGCATTTCTAAATTCTCACCAGCCAGCCTAAGCTGAACAGGTAAATACCTAATTTGAAAGGGAAACTGCTCTTGTTCCCGAACAGATATTCCACCAAACCGAAGCATTAATGCAGTAACACTGCTGAAGCCCCTCGCCCTCAGTACCCAACCCATCGCTTCATCACGGGGAGCTGCCAGGGCACTCAGGTTCCAGAGCTTTCAAGAGATGATTTACATATTACAGGATTAAGAACCAAATAAATTTTTAAGGTCCCCTGTTTCAGTGATGCTTATGCCTTCCCCAGATATTTCACAGATATCCCTCCTCAGCCACAAAAATCCTTTAATGCACTTTTTATCACCTTTCTTTATTGCCCTTAGTCGGTTCAACTCTCCACTTTTAGAGGCTAAAGACTAATTGTAGTTCTCTTTTATGAAATTCCCCAGCCAAGCAGTCATCTGGCGCTATTGCTTCAGTGTGTCTAAACTGTGCATTCTTTGTTATTCACACGTGTGAGCCGAGCTGACACACAGGAGGATGAGATGGACATATGCTGAAGCACAAGGCAAACCCCCAGAAATTAGCTTGAAAAGCCACTCGGCAGCTTGTGCGCGTTGCTTATTTTTTCAGTTAGAGGCTAACGTGATTAAAGTATCAGGACACAACAAAATTAAGGTTACGATCCTTTGCTTATTGAAGACAGGAATTCTTTCTTCTCTGTTGCTGTGGATCAGGGTTGTAAAAGTGAGCTACCGCCTGAAAACCACAGACAAACAACTTCTGCATTCACATAAAGCGCCCCGGCTACTTATTCTTATGAGCCCAGCAAAGGTGTTTAAGAGAAATTATGCAAACAAAAACGTGAAGCTTCTGTCAGGCAAGCAACATGAATATGTATAAAAAAATCAAGTTTCGCCATTGAGCCATGGGAAGCAAGAAAAAAACGTGGGAGAGGAGGCGAAGTGGTAAGTTGATGATTCAGGCTTTGCAATCGCACTTAGAGATACAGAGATCAAAGAGCGAGCTGTTTAGAAAGATGTAAATCTAAAGTCAGGAACAGGTGTGGATTAGTTTCTTGCCACCGAAAAAATGATTTCTTTATTACTTTATTTTTCCTGTCCTTCTTCAAGACCTGTATCTATCGTATTTGTCTACGTAAGGAGCCTTCTCACTTCTGTTTGCGACTACTGCTTTTTCCCCCTGCTATTTAAGCAGAGCTCTAAAAATCTATCATTAATGATAACTCTTTCTCCTTCTCTCCCTCTCTCTTTCTCTCTCTCTCCCCCTCTCTGTTCTAAGTCTGGAAGACAAGTCTGGACCAATTTCTCCATCCTGCCTCTGGCAGCAGAATGCAGCATTTCAGATCCTCCACCAAGTCCCGGCTGCTTCAAAGGAAAAGCCCTACTTTCTTCCGTTAAGATCATAAGAAATATAGGGGGAGGGGGTCAGCTCTGTTTGGACATAATTACACTTCATCAAAAGAAGCTTTCTTCATCTTCCATGCGTGAAAAGTCTGCAAGCAGTTAAGTCTGTCTTTTTTCTTCCTTTTTTTTTTTTTTTTAAATATAAAAATTGCTATTTGGGAAACTAGCCAAAACTCAGAAAGCCAATATAGTAAAACAGTGCACACCCTTTGTTTTTCTTTGAAGTCTCTTAAATAAATATGTCGAGGGTTTGAAAAGTACACTATCGCTTTTCCATAGATTCTACCCAGATTGATCAGAGAAAAAGTCGAGTCCAAGTCTGCAAGATACAAATATAAATTAAACTACTGGAACCGAATTTCAGGAGGTTTGTGTTTGCATGTGTCTGCAGCCGTATCTACTGAGGCTTTAGGCCCTCTATTTCATTTCCTATGCTTTAATAAAAAGTATATATCATAGGTTCCACATGAAATTCACAGATCAGAGGTAGTACATCACATTTTGGTTCTTTTTCAGCACTACTGCAAGACTGATACACTACTGAGCTCTTACTGTAAGGCAGCTGTAGTGATGGAGCCAGAGAACTTTCAAACCTCATCCATCAGCAGAATAACAAAACAGGCTGGGTTGTTTTTTTTTTTTTTTACAGAAAGCAAGACAAATGGAAGAAATAGGCAACACCTTAACCTAAAGGGCAATGAACTCCATATTGCATTACTTTTACAATAGTTATTCTGTATTCCAAGTTATTCTTTATTATTGACACTTTTCAAGCTGTAAAATGATAAAGAGAATCGTTGGCCAGCTCACTAAAATAAAAAATAGCCACTGGAAGCCACGCTTATGGAATCACTTTCGCAAAGCACTTGTAATTGTAAAGCGTGCCGACTGATTTAGACTATCTAGGCCTCTGCCATACGTTTAATTTTTTTTTTTTTGGACAAATACTCTTTCCTTCCTTAAGATGAATTACAACCACTTTCTAAAGAATATTACTGTAAAATTAGCTTTATTGCTAATTTCCCAACACAGTTGTTCAGCTTCTATTGCTTTGTTTTACCCCATGCAGGGCTAGTTTCAAAAATGAATAATTACTTCTAATACACTAAGGAAAAAAATACGTGGGTTGAATCAAAAAACCTGCAGCAAAAACCTAAGTGCCATCTTCCCTCAAGCCATCCTTTCAATCATTACCTGAAATTTGAAGGCAAGCTACAAGAACCTTAAAGAGGGATTCTTGCAATGATTACAAAGGCTTCCTATGAGTGTGCTGCAGTTGCCAGATTATAGGAAGCTCCTAAACAGCTGGAAGACAATGACAGCACTCTGCTTCTTCAAAAAAAACTAATTGAAAGTTACCCTGTCATTTAAAGTAAAGGTTAAACTTAGTTCAAGCCCAAGCTTACCAGCAATTCACAAAAAGTCAACCAGTTTACTAAAAAGAAAAGTACAGCTTATTTTTTGCAGGTCATATGCAGTTTGATTATAAAGGGCAGGGAAGTCACTAGAAAGCTTCCCACCAATAGCTGTAAGCCTTTAACGATGTAAGCCCTTAAAGAATATAACCTATAGCACATGTGATATGCAAAATCCCCTTAATTATAGGTCTTCTACAGCAACTTTGGAAGCAGCAATACTGCTAAAGGGAATCCTCCATCTCTCACTGCCATGGCCTGAGATACACTCTCTCCCTCCATGTAACCCAGATCACAAATACCCCCATTGCTTTCTACCTTTGCTGTGTGATTAGAACAGGGAAGCAGCTATTCTGCAAATCTTTTTTCCAAACCTGTGTCTCATAAAAACGTACAGAGACAGGAGGAGTCAGAAAAACTGAAGAGAAACTCTGAACTTGGTTTGCACAAATGCTGAAGTTCGCAAATAAAACATGAATTCATCCCTCCAAATGAAAGGTCAACTACGAGGTATTTGCAGATTCATCAGTACTTCACTGCAAGGTTTGATGTGCAGATGTTGTTCTTACTTCATTATGGACACGTAAAAGGCAGTGGCCTACCTCTTCCACTCCTGCCCACAAATCGTAAGTCATTAAATCTGGCCACTTGGTTCTTCATCACGGCAGAAGCGTTCCGCAGCTCTGCAGAGTAGTTCTCATCGTTTCCAGCCATGACGGTGACGACGGTCCCATCCGGCACTTCTCCTAAGGCCACCACCTGTTAAGATGGGAAGACAACCACAACTGGTGAAGCGACACTTTGAAGGCGCGTGTCTCCATCCCAGCTTTGCAGGCTGCCGCGCTCGTGATGAAGCTCTGCGGCAGCTTCTCCAGCCCGCTGCGGTGAAGAGTCATGTATGAGCTGAACACAGTGCCACATCAAACAAAGAAACATCTTGTGCTGTCTCCCTTTCTCATAGCCTAATAGGGAGTTTCTTCTTTGTTACATTTCTTCAGAAACACTCAACATGCCTATGGAGAGTGTTTAATGCATCCTGAAGGCCAACTTTGTTCTTAGCAACCAGCCAGCAGCGAGAAAACACGAGGCATGGCTCGTATCCATAAATTCTACGCGGGAACACACTTGAAATGGAAAGTTAGAAATTACTATTAGCAGCCTTATCACCCAGATTCGGTTCTACTTCTCTGCTGGTTGCACCCATCACCCTGACCCCAGAGCTCCTCAGACTTCAAGCTAGAGAGAAACCGCCCCATCCACCCATGCCAGGAGTGGCACTGGGGGCATCAGCAGACAAAAAGTTCCCCACCCAACATGCTGCTGTGATGGAGCACTTCATGGCTGGAATTCAAACTCTCCAGATGCAATATAAAACAAAGGCTGTATTTCCTTGCAGGCATGTAAATTTTCACAGTGCTTGCAAGAGTCGCATGTGGTTAGTGCTGATACCTCCCTCGAATTCCAGGATGGGTGAACAGAAGATGTTAAAGTATTTCTCCTTTATGTTTCAACTAGCTGAGAGCCTCACTTTTATGCTTCAGCGGTGGTGCAGGGCTCCAACATCTGCTTAGATAAACACCACGGAGTAGACAGCTCCTGTCTTCTAATTTGAAAACACCAGGGATACCTACAGCCTTACTGCACCAGGACTTTTTAAAGTAAAAATTAAGTTAAACAGGAATATTAAGTTACTAGGAAGAAAATATACATTTCCTCACATGGGGTAAAAAAAAGTCCATAAAAGTATCAAGAAAATAATTTCCTTTTGCCCAGTGAGCTAATACTGATGCTGGAAATAAATTTATAACAAAAAGAGATTCGCAAATATTGCACAGCTGAGCTCTAACTTGAAAAAAGAAAATCCTGAGATACGAAGTCTGTCCCCTTGCAGTTTCTACCAGCTTACGTGGCCAGATACGACTTTTTATATTATTCAGCGTAATTTATTCTGTCTCCTGAAATATATAGTACATTTTTGTCATTAGCCCTGCTTGAAATGTCTTGCCCATAAATAATCCTACCTGAAACTACTAATTGCAGGTTGCACTGTAATATTAATTAGGTGGAAAGAATGAGGAGTTCTGAATACACAGGGAGAGCACTGTGGCCCTGTGCACTGCACAGTGTTTCTCTAAAACAATAAAAAGTGATGACAAAGGTATACAAAATCTGAAAATAATTCAAACTGACTATATTACTGAAAATTATAGCTCACCTTATTTACACAAAATATTGAAGAGAACGAAGAAAACAAAGCTGAAATGCCGTATAAGAAGGATCTACCCTGGTGCTTTTCTGTTTTTCCATAAAACACCAGCTAATACCACCCAAAACTGAGCACTGAGTTTTGCCACAAACTACTGTGAGGTCTCTGTCTATCAGGCAAAGACTTCACTTTAAAGTGATACGAACGTCCCTGAACATCAAAACACAGGAACCACTGTCGCGGATAAGATCTGAGGTCCCGCTAGCTCACTGCCTTGGGTCTGACAGCAACCAGCTCTGACGGCTTCAAAGCCAGGTGGAAAGGAATCATAAATAATAATCAAATAACAAATAATAATCTGCCGAGCAGATTATAGAGCTGACTCTAACCCTTAATAAATAGATATGTATTAAACAGGTATTTAATAAATAGATATTGGCTTAAAGTCTAAAGCACGGGGCTTGAGACTACTTATAAACCACTCCCTGCCCAGTTTGCAACGGACACGTTATCTCTGGACGGTCTTGCCATGCCCATCAGCATCCAGGGGAGCTGCAACCTATGCTTTTTATATCTGACAAAACAAACCAAAAAAAAAAAATGACATTAAGTCCAGAAATGCAAAGAAACCGAGAGCACAGGAGGAAGTGCGAGCCTGCCAGGGGCCTCGGAAGAGGGAGCAAACCGACAGCAGCCCCAGCTCACCTCCTTCTCTCGAGGTAAGCAGAGCATCGAGCCGGCAGCGGCATCGCGTCTCCATCTCCACCCGCCTCCCCAGCGCAGGTACGGCTTGCAACACCTGGGTGGGAGGGAGCGAAACCTCAAAAAGCTCTCCTGCCCCACTGCTTTTCAGAGGTTTCCTCCCTAACCCTTCCACGCGACGATGTGGGTTCAGTTTGTCAGCTCAGACATCAGCCTGAAACCACACGTGCTGCTGCCGGAGCCACTGGGCTGATGGCGCCTCATCGAGAAATGCATCATGATTAAAATTCCCCGGCTGCTTGATGCTGTATGATGCAATATTGCTATTTGTCTCATTAGGAGAAGACCGAAGGAAAAGACAAACTGGAATCCGAGGTGAAAATAAGAACTCTGGCTAATGAAAGAATGTGTTACTACACAGAAAGGTCCCCTGCTATGCTTGTTCTTTCCAGAATTTCACACTTTTCATACTTTTTTTGCCATGAAATACCAGCAAACTATTGCACACACACATAACAACACCGGTCGGGACAAAGCTTTGCAAAACAAGTTTGAATCCTGGAGAAATACACACCATTGTGAGAATTTTAAAAAGTAACTTTACATACTGAAAGACTGTTGGCATAAACCTCGATTTCGTAATTTTATGCCATGTATCAATCAAAAATTATTTAAATATTCTTAGAAAGAGGATTGTTAAGTACACTGTGAAAGGAATAAGGACTGTGTAAAAAATTAAACATTAAAAGCAGTCACAGTTCACGTTCCTTACCTATTCTTCACACATAAATATCTCTATTTCAAAATCTTTATTTTCCATATTCAACTATCTACACATTTTGGTGAGTAAAGGTAAATTTTGCTTTTGCCCTTTTTTTTTTTTTTTTTAAACTAAAGCTCAAAAAGCTACATGAAGGCAGATGAAGCCACAAAATAAAACCAAACCGATTCTTACAAGTTGAAAATAACTATGTTATTTTTTTGCATAACACAATTCTCATTTGGTTAGGCAACCTGTTTGCCCAGTTTCGGTCCAGTGGGATTTGAACTGGCCAAAGTATGTACCCAAGAGACGGAAGTTATAAGCACAAAGAAAAACTACTATACAACAGCGGGTATGAAGATTTTCTGTAGAGTAAAATGCATGTTTCGAAAAAAAAAAAAAAAAGCTAGTGTACATGCTAAAACGTTGATATATAGCACTTCAACAACTTTTCCTGCAAAACACTGAATGCAAACAGCCCCTGAACGTAAAATCCCCGGTACTGAGAAGGCCTTTTCCAGAGATTGCCAAAAGAGCATCTGATACCATTAAAAATATTTTAATGTTCTGTAACTTAAAACAGAATAACTGATTTGCGCTCCTTTTTGTTTCAAAATGTACATCTGGGCTGACAATTTATACAGCAGGTTTCAGCTTGAAGCTATTTAAAACAGCTGAGTTATAAACTCTGAAAATTGGGGTTTGGAGGGGAAATGCTGACAGACCCTGAACTACTGTGGTGCTACTGGGGAAAGGTCTTAGACTTCAGGTCCCTTCTTTTCCCCTTGCTTTTAGGTCCACTACGGCTCTTTGCTACTTTCAGCATCATACAGAAGCCACTTGTAACATCTGACGTGGCCATTTGTGTCTTTCTGACCCCCAGACACATAAAGAGAGGGTGAAATTCTGAGCACTCTACTCCAATAAAGTACTGCTGGCTGTTAAGGTGTGACTATGATTTGGACCTGGGTGCACAAGATCTGTTTCTTTTCTGCTGGAATACCACTAGATAGCCTGAGCTATATTAATAGGTACACGTCTCATACTCGTCCCCACAAAACCCCTTTGCATCAGCAATTAGCAGTACACTCAACACCGACTCCCTCTCCTGTACGTGTAAATATTAATACCTAAAATTAAAATCCAATACTAAGCCAAAATTGTTTCAAAAAATTATCATCAAACCCAGCACTGTTTAGAACACACTTCCTCTCCTGCATACAATTTATATATGTTTTTCTTTACATTAAAACAGTGCCACATCCAGAGTAATTTTTAACTAGAGATCTCTGCGAGAGAATTACGACACCCTTAACACACCTCTCAAAACATTACCATCAACGTATCATTTATTGCCAATAAAACTTCAACAAATGCGTTGTCTGTGAGCTATTTTACTTTCAAGTCAGTGTTTAGCCGAGATTTCTACAGCCCAAATCTGTCTTTTTTTTTTCCTTTTCAGAGATAATTCCCATTCTGTTATATCATAGTCGAGTCTTTTACTGTATGATACACACAGCTCCTTTGGTCTGCAAGTACTGGACAGCTGCATAAAACTCACATTTGAAATTTTTTTTTTAACGGTCAAAATTATTTCGACTGAATTTTAAATTAATTTACCAGCAAATAAGGACGAATATATCTTTGGCATATTTTTAAAAGTACACAACGCATGCTGCATGTGAAAACACCGATGCACCCGCAGCGAAGGGGTGCTCGGACCTACACCTCCCCGTCAGCATCAAATATAGGACCCAAATATAAGACGTGTTTGAATATATATATATGGACACAAAAAGATTGGGAAATGCTCTAGACCTTTTTCTATCTGTTTATCACATGTAAGTGTTCTTATTTTAATAATATTCTAAATACTGTAATACACCGTTTAGATCTTTCCCTTATTCTAATGAACTGCGACCGCATCCTTTGAATCGCTGTAAGGTAGGAGAAGGCTCAGACGTTCCAAACGAAAACAGCGACGCGAGTACGATAACGGGAGAGCTCTCGTGTCTCATCTGTAGGGAGTAACTACAATACCAGCTTAATCTAACGCTCAATTAAATCACAATCCTCCAAAAGCTCCTCCTCCTTACCCCGAAGCCCCTGTGAATCAGAGCCCCACACCGCGAGAGCCTTTGAGCCCTACACCGAGCCACAGAAACAGCAGACACCCCATTTTCCTCCCATTTCCACCCAGTTTGACCATCACGACCCGCACAAGCAGGCCCCGTGCGAAGGGTTCCTCTGCAACTCCACGCAAGAGCACATAGCTCTCATCTCAATGCATTTTCAAATAAAAGCTCCATCTTTATCACTAGTCACCTTAAAGCCACCTCATTTAACCGCTCCTACTAATTTTTCCCGGATAAATGGCCGTGATAACACAGCCAGCAACAGTGAAACACAGAAACCAGGCGACGTTCTGGAAACGCGCTGGGTGAAACCGCTCCCAAACTCTTCTACCTTTTGAGCCACTTCCAAGCGGGTTATTTTTCCCATAAAGGGTGTGGGAGTGATGAGCCCTTTTTTCAGGGCCACCCCACCCCGGCTCTGACCCCACGCCCCGCTCGGGCAGGTGCCCTGGGACACCCCAGCCATCGTCCTCTCCCTACCAAAGGCCACAGGACAGAAAACTCCAGGGGGAACGCTTTCAAATATTGCTAGGGGAGGAAAAGGGCTTGCTTGAAAACACGCAATTATTGTTGTTATTATTACAGTTAAAAAAAAAAAAATATTTTCCTCTCATTAGCGCGCCATGGGGATGCAGACAGAAAATTAAAAGCAGCATCCCCGGTACA